CTGAGGAACGATTTCTCTCAACGAACTGTAATTTTTAATGTCACCAGGGCTTTTTTCTAAAATTTACTACTAAGAACGTCCCCACTTCTCTGCTACTAAGGGAGTGTAAGGGGGAAGATGACAAAACCGTTTGTTTATGATACGATGAGTTAAGTTTCTATTCTTTTCTTGTTAAGTGTTGTTTTCCAAGTACCATACAAGTGTATATATCATACCTGCCAACTTTTAATCCCTTCCATTATCATTTTTCCCAGTGGTATTAAAATGGAATTAAAACTTCAATTTTAAGCAAACAAATACGTTGCATTTGAAAAAACTTAAGTTGACAACCATGATAGTAACGCATATTAATATATCTGCTTCATTTTTGTAAGAATAGTGGTGATCAAAATCATTTAAAAATTAAGTTTATAAGAGAAAAAATAGTATATATTTACTACCACTTTAAATATGAAAATAAAATCTTCCGGAAAATCCGGAAGAGTTGGCAGGTATGATATATGTATGCAAACCTATACATTCTTTATAATTTATACATTTTGAGCAAAATAAAATGTAATAGAAATACCATTTGGAACTTTCCGAACAAAACTCATCTCCGATTTGAAATTACCTCACCCGAATCAGATTAGATCAAGTACTTGTATGACAGCAAAAGGAATCGGATCCCGATGTTATTCTTCACTTTTTAAAAGTTCGTAATAAGGGCTTTAACTAATTATTTCCATACAAGTTTTTTTTTAACTGTTATTGAACAGCCAACCCAGTTTTCGGGTTTCTGGGTTGGTCTACTCCAGGGATGGGCGAACTACGGCCCGCGGGCCAACTGTGGCCGGCTGGAAGGTTTTATCCGGCCCGCGGATAGGATTTTAATTTGCCGATCAGTGGCAAATATGAACAATATACATCCATTTTCTTGTCAACTATTTAAAATTATTTCTGTTTTTTCCTTTTTTAATGATGACCTTTTTACTTTCTCTATTTTTGTTCTACAAAACATAAATTGATGGAAATAGTTAGCACAGACAGCTTCAATTGATAGAATGTTGAAAGCAGAAGTTCTTTATAGAATAGCCTTAGATTAGCTCTAACTAGCGTTTGTCTTTCTCGAGGAATCTAATATAGGTAAATTGTACTTCACATTTGGCAGACTGCGCATTTTAAGATCCAACGAGCGGACCATCTTACAATCATCTGAAGCAGTTGTTTCTAAATATGCCAAAGTTTTACAAATCATTACCAAAAGCTAGTTTCTAAAATTTAATACTTCATGCCCAGAAAATCAGCACTATGTTTGCTTAATCTTATATAGGTGAACGAGAGTTTTCAACTATGAACCTTAGAAAAATTCATTTCTGAAGTGGCCTAACAGAAAAGCATTTAGCCTTGTTCCTTAAAATAAGCACATCTCACTTCGAACCTTAATGTAAAGAATTTTTTAAAACGAAATCGCAATTTCATTCACCTCACTAAATATTTAAATTAAAACTTGTACATCGTTTTTTTTTTTTTAATTCTGAAAGTTTTACTTGGCCCACCAAAAATTTTTTTCTCTCTATTTTTGGCCCTCGACCAAAAAAGTTTGCCCATCTCTGGTCTACTCCGTAGCCTTGTAATTTTGAACCCAATGCAGAAGACAAGGGAACTCCTGGCTCAAGTAATCTGAGCAATTCGCATAGGTGAAGGAATTTTTGATGAAACTAATTCGCAAATGCGTTACATGAAGTGGAAAACCACGAAAACCTCCCACAGTTACACTGACGGCAAGGGGGCTCTAACCCCTGATCCTCCTACCACTGAGGATATTTTATGTAGGCACTGTGGTCGCAGTGAGCGGGGTGCGGAATTCGTATCGACCAGCCATCTCTGTGATTAAAATCCGGTTCTCCTCATTGAAAAGAGATTGCTCCATAATCCTAAGCCACCACTGCTCATGTTATCCTCTTCATCTATTTTTAATTTTTGTTCTTTTATGTAACAAAGAAAAAAATTTGTTCCCCTGAGCGACTCACGCATTAAAGACCCCTACTGGAAATAAAAAATTTAATAAAAAAAACTTATTTTGTGTATTAAAATCAAAACTTACTTTTATTGTGATTCTAACGTTGTTTCAAGCATATGAGAGATGAAAAAAAAAAATTATTCTGATGAATTCACCGACATTGGAACAAAACAATCTTGTTTTTTGATCTTATTCCAAATGGAAAAAAATATCATCGGCAACCTCTGCAAGATAAAAAAAATGACAATATAAATAAGAAAAAATATTAGAGAAGAAATATTTGAATATATTTTGACTGACATGCATTTTTGTGGTAATATATAGAAAATTCTTTCCACTCGAGATCGTTTTAAGAATACACTCCGTGATAATAATTCAATGGAAAATACTTCGGTTTTTAAGTACCTCAATTTACAAGACATTTTCTTATTTGTTCTTCGAATTCCATTTCTACTTTGAGCGAAATATTTATACAAGTAGAGAGTTTCAAAATTTGGCTTTTAGTGAGAATGTAACTTTTTTTCTTCGCTTTTAGTGAGAATGTAACTTTGAAGTGCATTATTAGTTTTGATAAAGTGCTATTTGTAACGGTTATTGTTTTGGCAAATTTTGACAAAGTGTTATTTCTAACGTCGTCTCGCCCATTATGACTTTTCCGCCGTTACTCCGCATTTATTTTTTGTTTTCTATCACAAACTGAAGGTGTTTTATGTATCTCACAAAAAAACCTCATCAAATGAAAATATAAAATTAAAGCCTTTGAAACTTCATAGAAACTTAAGGTATACCTGAACTAAGTATCTCTGAACAGTGTTAATACATAAAAAAAATAATGATATGTTTTAAAAAAAACGTGTACTAGCGAAATCCACCTGATTATAATTAAAATAATTAAAAAGGGAAGAAAGAAAAAAGAAAAACATGGTTGAAACATCACAGCAAGCTGTTGTAGGGATACTTTTTCACCTTTAACAAAATTTTAACAAAAGTGAATGAAGTAAAAGTTTTGTGGAATATTTAATATTCCAAGGTCAAGTATCCCTACAACTACACAATGTTATTATGTAGTTGTATTCGATTTCCAAAACTTCCACTCATCGATTTTGCAGCTGATTTCAAAAATTAGCAACAAGAATCCATTTATACAAAATGGTATATTGTTGCTAATCATTCAAAATTATTAGTCAAAATGTAGTTTTTGCTTTGTGATGTAGTTTGATTGAGTTAGAAGTTGTGAGTTAGTTTGAATGAGTTGAGGGTTAGTGTAATTTTAAGTTCGTATTATCTGAGGAAAACTAATATTATTTATAACAAGCAAAAAAATTAAGGAAGTTATTTTAAGTTTTTTAGGTTTAAATTACTTATTAACACGTTGAATGCCATAAGAGTAACCGATGACCGGCGGAGCCAATATTATTAGAAACACATAATTCGAGTAAATTTTTATTTTTTTAATATTATTATAGTTACTAAAATGGTTTGGAGAAACTAAGGCAATATAGAACACACAAAAATAGTTTTATCATATCTGCCAACTCTCCCGGATTTTGCGCGAGATTTTATTTTCATATTTAAAGTGGTAGTAAATATATACTATTTTTTCTTTTATAAATTTAATTTTTAAATGATTTTGATCACCACTATTCTTACAAAAATTAAGCTTATATATTAATATGCGTTACTATCATGGTTGTCAACTTAATTTTTTTCAAATACAA